GGAAAAACTCAGATAAAAAATGATGCAAGCATATAACACAAGTAAACAGGCAACATACTGACTAGAACAGGATTGCGCAAGGAAATTACTCAATGATCCTGCGCAGAACGTAGTCGAACGTGTTGAAGTAGATGTTGCAGATCACCAAGCGGTCGCGTGTAGACGCTGCCCAAAAACCTGATTGCCGCCCCGTGCAGGAGTCTCGCGGCAGTGGTTTCGGAGATCCCGCTCTCTTCAAGTCCGGTGCACGCCGAACTCAAAGGTCGACGAGGCGCAGCAGCGAGAAGCTCAGCACAGCAAGCGGGAATGTGAGCATTTAAATCCGTACCCTTCAACCAGGACGTCTCCTGGTTTTATAGGCCTTCATAGTGCATCAATTCCTCAACAAGCAATAAAAACTGCCCAATTTAATGGCAGAAAATGCTGCAATCAAATAGCAGAAACTGACACATCTTATTACTGTTTAAAACAGCAGTTTCAATCACATTGAAGCGCCATTACGCTCAGCATAAAAAATAGAAACTGCACAAATAATAACCTATTGTACACGTACGCGTCGCGCGACGTTTCACGCGAGCTGCGCGTGCGTGTAGCAACAGTCTCCTTCTCTCTCATTTTCACCTATTTTGCATAGAGAGGAGAATCCCATATTTAAGCAAGGCAACCTCTCCTTGAATTAGCAATATGGGACTATAGGTTGTGCATGCTTTGGAATTTTCAGATTAGGCCAAACATGGGCCTAAATTCAACAATTAGACCGAATCAAAACATGAAGATTTTTTTTTAACCAAAAAAAGTAGCTTGGATACCTCAACATAGCAGTGTCCAAACTTCTCTCGCGAACGGGCTGCGTAAACACAAGTGGACATACAGTAATGGATAATGGAACCTACCATAACAGTAACGCAGTCCTGTTATTCGCTTTCGACTCCATGCCATGCAGACGCAGTCCAATAGTCGTCGGGGCGTAAGCGTAACAGGTATTTGTTCCTGGACTGGTGCAAGGTCGCACTATCGTTTCCATAGCAGATTCACATGCGATATTTTCGAAGGTTTATGGAGGAACCCGTGTATCACGCTCCACTTTCTAGATAACTCTTTTCACCCTTTATTACCAAGTGCGATCTGAGCTCAAAGATCTTTCACAACAGAGCAGAGTCAGCATGCAGAGGCCACGAGACAGGCAAGTTCAACGTCGACCATTGCTCGCCTCCAAACAAATCCTCATCAGATGATCGCGATTTCCAGCACCCATGTCTGGTGCCTGTGCCCTAAAAAACGACTAGCTACGAGGTAAGCTACGACGTCAATTTTACCCTCAAGATAGACCTACTACCGAGTGGTAAACCGTTTCATGCCTCATGACTCGCGAGCGCAGCAATTGGAGCCTTGGTACTTATCAAACGCGATAGTTTGAGACTCGTGGGATTGACGGCAATATTGGCCCTGTTCGCTTCTCTTATAATTCGTTTTTTTCAGCTTATTTTTTTAACCATAACAGTATTTTTCTCTCACAACAAATCAGCCGGAACAATGTTTTGGCTTATTTTTCCAACGAATCGTAGGGGACCATTATCTGTTGCCGAAACTGCCCGCACCACCGCCGAATCAGTCTCGTTAGGAACCGCAAAAGCGCGAAACCAAACTCCCCGGGAGTTAACAAGTCCAATCATTGACTTTTTCCAGCTCCTCAAGGTGGCAATAATTCGCACGTTCTTTCCGGGAGATCTGACGCGATTCCTCCATCGGCTTCCTTTCCTTCCTCTGACGCCGGAACAGCAACGTGCACCGGTGAACCGAGGCGAGCCGGGGTGAATGGGGGTGGTGATACATCGTCGGTGCTTTCAGCACTCGACCGCATGATAAGGCGATACGCAAATACGCCTGACGCCTCACCAGCATGGGCAAGGCTTTTGCCGCGCAAAAGCCTGGTGCTTTCAGCAACAGACAACAGTGGCTGCATTATTGGTGTACTGCACCTCCGTCGAGCCACACGCGCTGCGGCACACGCGTCGCTGTGAAGCTTCCGGTAGTGGAAGGCCCGGGGAGAAGCCACTACGCGGGGAAATAATTCATTTCGCCGACGGGCGGCGGCCCAGCCGGCAGCTCCCACTGTGGACGGGCGACGGGCGGGGAGAAGTTTCCAACGGTCCGAGTCAAAAGCGTGCTTCACGCTTCCGCATTATTTCAGCGGTTTATTGCGATGAACAGCGCTAAGCAAAGCAAAGCTCTGCACCGAGAAGATGGTTTGCAATTGCAAGCAAACAAACAATGGAAGATAGCACATGGTATTACGAGTAAAACAATTGTATGTAAGTCTGGCTTTTTCATGAAACGGTGGCAGCATCACCATTCGGAGGTGGTGGAAGTCTATGATCCTTCGGATGGACGTTTCTGTCTCTCATTAGATGTAGTGCTCAACTGACAAATCTTTTGTTGTCTGGCACGGAGAGTTTTGCTGGCAAAAGAATTTTGCTGGCCGATTGGCCTGACGGCTTTCTTCTTGCCGACAAGCAAATTCCCTCTCATCCATTTCTCTAATTTTTAATGAAAAAAAAACATATTAGAAACTACAGATTGTGGAAGCGGGGACAAACTTGAGTTTGTCGTATTGATGATAAAAAATAATTGAGAAAAGTGGCTTTCTGAATAGGGATTTTTTTTATATTAAGGGTTTTTGGCAGCAATGCATTCACATAGATGTAACACTACGTTTGTGGAACTGGATAGAGCGTAGCCTCCGGTGCGAACTTCCACAAACCAAAGTGGCTGTGTGAATTGAGTATAGAAATATCTGTACAAAGCATAACATTATCCTTGCTCATCATATTTAATCGAAATTAAAAATAAAACACAACGATTTGCAATGGTGTGTGCGGAACCCTACATTATTCAAAATATTATTTTCATTACTACCTTTATAATATAATGCTATTTCAGTGACAAGTTCCCACTAAATTCAATTATGTTTACCTACCAGTTTATACAAATAGCAAGCAATACTCAATTCCCTAACTAACACTACATATCCATTTTTATAAATGTATACTATATTATTTCCTAGCAATCTCACCAAACAACACTAACTACATTGCTAAAAAAAAAGAAAGAACCTCCTTATCAGTGTTGGCGTGGGACCATAGGTGTAGGCACTGATGCCTTATCGGTGCTTATGTTTGGTTGATCAGCATTATGGTTTAGCCGGATGAATACTTGGTTTAGCGCTCCAATTGCTAGGAATGTTTGGTTTAGCGGTGCAATCAGTTGATCAGTGCTTTCAATCGGCAATTCGACCAATTAAACCAAACAAATCGTAAACCAGAGTCCATTTCTAAAAAACCGTAAACTAGAGCTTCTAGCGCTAAAATTTTTGGTTGGTCCTAATAACTATGCGTCCGCCTTATGTTGGCGAGGCCAGACAAGGGTGGCCTTGTGCCCTCCGACAGCCATGATGGTACCTTCTTTCCCCTGTGTGACCCTCCTCCTTCTCACACGAGTGTGTCGCGAGACACAACAACAACAATGGCCATGTCATGAATTTCAGTAATTTTGGTGGTAGCCAAAAGAAAAACAAAAAATTTTGCAATACACTAATTCATGTGTTGTATAACTCTACACTCGTATTTTCTATTGTTTATGTTGCATATTCTTCTACTCAATAGATGTGTAGTCATAAGTCATGCTAATATTTGTTTAGATCTATTTTTTATGAAAAAATATATACTTCATGTGTAAGTCTTAAAAAATTTCGGCCAATTTTTTGTAATTTTAGGGGTGGCCAATTTTTTTTAATACCAAAATTGAAACCGCTAGTCAAAGTATATCTCTGCCTGTTGGATGAGTGGCCTACCGGCAATCTAGCCGCTGATAAGGTGAGTCATCTACATGCTGATTCGCAGAGGCTAATCGGCCCTCATCATATATAGCTTGCAGATCACCAATATTGTCCCACGCTGTTCTGTTCTTTTTTTTCATAATCTTTCAGTGGTCGCTGAGCTAATAACTAATCACGTCAATAATCGACATATAAAAGAGTTCATACTGCGTACAATAATTCTTTATGTGAATACACTTTTAGTTCTTTTTTCAAAAGTTGTTGTAAGTTCTTATTAGAGGAATTTCTTTTGGGTTCAATTGTTTTTTTTTTTTTTCTTTTTTGAAGGGAGGGGATTTTTGGGTTCCATTGTTTTTTTTTATAGGAAATTTTGGGTTCAATTGGTGAACGTGTAGTAGTAGTTCATGGGCTGAATGTTCGCAGTGGGCCGTTTCATGCTTGATGGGCAGAAGTTCTTTGCAGAACAGAACGCGTTGGACCTCACTTCCGATTTCCGAGCTCCCGGTTCCAAGATGTAACTGTAAAACCCACCAAGACTGAGTGATTCCCCTCAACAAAGAGAGAGAGAGAGAGAGAGAGAGAGAGAGAGAGAGAGAGAGACTGTGATGCAGCTATGGAAGTGCTAATTTGCAATAAACTTATGTGTAATACTTATGCTAGTACTTATTACGTTCTTCTTCCAGGCTTTCAATATATATTTGCAATTGAAGGTATCACTCTTAGCTCATACCATCTGAACGGGCCACTTCTACAGTCTTGTACAAAAAAGCGATCATGACCGCAGTATCACAGGTGAGAGAACGTCGAGAAAAAAAAAAAATCCACTGCTCACAAGCACTATGACTATACAGTTAAATCTTCATAGTTTCACGCTATTGAGTCTCGGGCCGCTGCCGGGCCCCGGCTTCAACGTTCACCTGAAGCTGCCCGACCTCCGGCGCCTCCGCCCTGTCCGGCAGGGAGGGGGAGGGTTTAGCGGCGAACGGCGCCCGCCTGCACGTGGGGCACGTCTGCCGCGCGGCGAGCCAGCGGTCGATGCACCGCACGTGGAAGCCGTGGTTGCAGTGCGGCAGCGCGCGCACGCGGTCACCCTGCAGGAACTCCGTGAGGCAGATGGCGCATTCCGCCGCGCCACACCCGGTGAGCTCCACTTCGCGGGAGTAGACTATCCACGGGGGCAGCCCGGTTCGCGGCCCGCGCTTCCTCCTGGGCCCGGCCTGGCAGGAGGGGGAGGAGGAGGCGCCGACGCATCCCCGCCGCCGCCGCCGGGGGGCTCCTCGTCCTGGCCGTAGCACACGCGGCGCGTGACGCGGAACGCGCACCGGACGACCGCGTGCACCGCGAGCACGACCACCAGGCCACACAGGAGTAGCGACAGCACCGTGATCACCGTCGTGTTCAGCGAGCTGAAGGGCGCTGCTGCTGCGTGCGTGTGCGCTGCAGACACCTGCATCGCCGGCGGCCCCGCCGACGGGGCAGCCGCGTCAGCGGCAGCGGCTTCCGACAGGAGCCTCCTTGCATGCAACTGTTCGACGCCCATCTTGTCGAGCTGTAAGCCTGTAACGCAGAGGCGCGTCGTAAAACGCGTTGGTGGTGGTGGTGTAGTGGGACCGTGGGAGAGTGTTCTCTCGTGGCACGGCGTGGGAAGGGGTTTATATAGGAACGGGAGGAGGCAGTCAGTGGATTATTTATTAGCGGCAAATCCAAAATGAGGTTTAGCTTAACCTGATGGACTAGTTGATCGATTCTAAACTAATGGAACGTGGGTTAATGGCGATAACATCGAGTCATGGAGATAAGATACACCCCACTAGATACCTGACGAACCCATCATGCATTCGGGCGGCATAATTCATTGATTGACAAAGCTTTTTCTTTGACTACAATTAGGAAGTGCCTCAAGTACCTCATCCCACACGATTTTTTTACCCGCTTCATATTTAGATTGACAGTATAGTCTCTATTTTTCAGACTGATTGAACTGTAAAAACCTCAGCAATAAATATGCTCACTGTTGTATATCAGAGCAGGGGGCGTATACTGTTAGATGAAGCTACGGCTACAACGAGCACTATTGTAAGTGATCAATGCAAAGTGGGGGGCACAAAGTTATTAAGTACACAAGATGAAGACGAGAGCTCAACAAACACCCACAGATTGCGTGCTTAAGCAGACTTTTGTAAGACCAAAATGCGCTGGGAGCGACTCGCTGAAACGAAGGCCGGACAGGCGCAAAACCGCACTCACGCTCATCATTAGCGACTAAATAATATAAGTTCAAAAATATGGTCGACATGATACGGCCCAGTGGAGCCTCCACTAACTGCGACCCGTCGGCGCGCGGGAGAGGGACACCTGGCTGCGGAGGTGCCACGGTGTCGATGACTTGTCAATGCGCGGCTGGTTCGTCCCTGCCCCGTTGGATCGTGTCTCCGTCCGACGTGTCTGTCTGTAACGTTCCTTCGCGTCGGCTTCGCTTGGGCTCTGGGGGTGAGCATAGTATTAGACTACTATGGCTGTGGAGTTGTGGGCTGGGCTATATTAAGAAAACAGTATGGGCTAGCAAAAAGTTGCCATGAACTGAAGCATGTTTTCTTTCAAGGTGAGATGGATGGATTTCATGTGCTCAAAATAATAATAGAGTTGAATGGGAACGTAGAGTTTAAGCTTCAAATTAGCGCTTTCAAATAGTGGCCTGGATTCCCTTTTCTTTTTAACGCCATAACTATTTCTCCCTTTTACACGTACGTCGTAAGTCATCACATAACTCAATCGAATAAGAAGGCCAATCAATCTTTCAAGTAACGAATTTCACGTGTTTTTGTGTAATTTTGTTTATAAGACTACTGCCATTTGTGAGGAAACAAATAAAAGGACTATAACCACCATCCACCAGACACTGTATCGAGTGGCTCAATGCCAGATCCAGGCAACTTGCGTGGCTACTTCCAGAATGGGGCCGGGCAGTGGATTTTAAGCAGGTTATCCATCCACAGTGTCCACACATATGGATCTGTTGGCCATCTTCAATAGTCGGAGCCGTAGTGGACGATGCGCGGGACTGGAAAGAGCGTAGCTTAGCTATAGGAGTATATATATATGTAGATGAAAATTTTCTCTCCACCTATTTTTTATCCGGCCACCCTTTATCTAACTTTGTAAATATGGAAAATCAAATATAGCCCTTTTCTTTAATAACTAGGAGTCCTAATCCAATTAAATCTCTCCGATTTTGGGTGAATAGGAATCTTAATCAAATAGGAAAATATAATAATATGGACAATTAGGAATCTTAATCCAATTAGATCTCTCCAACTCCGAGTAACCGGAATAGGAATCTTAATCCAAATGCAAAAAATATAAGAATAGAAATCTAGGAGCAACTCCAAGAGATTAGCCAAAAATAGATTTCAATATCCATGATTTAGCCATCTTCTAAAATAAAATCTCCTCAAAGAAACATGGATTCTCCAATAGCAGTGGTAAATTTCCTATTTTCATAGTTAAAACTTGCCACGTCATCTACTATTCGTTTTGGTTCCACCAATCAAATCAACTAGATGTTCACAGGAGCCCCGTGAAATTAGGCGAGATAGCTGATAGCAAGCGCCCCAAGCTTGCTTTTTCTAGGTTGTGGAAAAGATGGGATAGCCTACTGGGTATTTTGGAAACCCAGATAGCATATCTGTTGGAGACTATTTTATATCATAAATTGTCAAAAATGGGCTCAAAATAAAAAATAGCATCTTTCTTGGAGTTGCTCTAATAAAGAGGAAAGAAGGATATAATTTCTTTGTTTCGTTTCTTTTTTCTGTTCTTTTCCAAATATGTTATGATTTTTTTCGTGGCTATTTTCTAGAGTATATATATATTTCAATTTTTGTCATGACTATTTTTTACTTGGCTTCGAGTATGCTCATATTTTTTTTCCGTGGATGTTTTTTACACTAGCTCAACTTTTCTGATTTTGTTTTCATTGTTTTCTCCACCTGGTTTTTTCGTGTTCTAATAAATATAATAAGAGTAAAAACAAACAATAAATAAGAGATCAAAGCCATTTTAATCTTTGACTTCTTAAGAAACAAAGATTTTTACCACTAAGTTAATTTAATTTTTGACTCTAACTCATGACCCATGCTAAAACTCACTGGGTATTGGATAGGCATCCAAGAAGTGGCCAGCAGCCGTGTCACTCGTTCCAATCCGCTGAGGCACAGCAAGAAAACACTGTCCAAGCATTACTTCAAGTTGTATAGAGCGATTAGCTTAAACAAAGTAACGGACGTACGTCAGTAGTAAACAAGTACTGTAGTGGGCTGGGCCTCGATGGTTGTGGCCCTAGGGGCAGGGGCTACGAGTTCATTCTCTATCCTTTCAGAGGTGCAGGGGGGCGGGCAAGAGTAGCAGCAATTTGACGCCCGCTGATACGCTAAACAACTAAGGTTTCAGAGCAAGTACTGTAGTGCCGATGGTTTTTGTTTGCCCGTCCCACCATGTTTTGATGCGATCAAGATTGGTAGCTTTTTCCAGGTCGAACTCGGACCACCTCGGTCGGCACCTGTTCGTGACCTCACGACCTCATGGTCCGGTACTCCGGTTCCGGTCCTTCCACCCGGAGCAATTCACGGTGGGGGGTTTCGGTTGGAGAAATTTAGATGGTATTGGAAGAATGTTGGAGAAATTTGTGAGAGAAAAACTATTGTTCCGGATGAAAAAAGAAGCGGATCCAACCGGGTTTAAGGGCACGCGAACGGGCCCGGATTTGCATATCTACGGTGAGGGCGTCCGTACGCTAGACACTCCTTGGCGGGAATGCGGACCATCCAACAAGCTTACTCCCTTCTACCAAATTAACTGGATGCTTTGACGGCTTAAAAAAATAGACGCCATGACATTTTCCCGGTCCGCCTCGTAGGGTGTTCTCCACCGCCGCACCGCGCTGCCCACTGGCCACGCCCGCCTACACCGAGCCGGTGAGCCTCCTCGCCGCCGCCGGGGTCTAACCACTCGCCGATGCCGCTTAGTTAGCTTGGCCAAACCTAGCAATAGCCACAAGACGCACCGGACGTCGCGTGTGACCAGCGACCAGAGAGAGAGGGCGTCACCGGCGGGCCCAAGCCAGCGCAGAGCACCACTAGGGATGGCAACGGGCGGATTCGGATCGGGTGGAGTCTCTGCACCAACCCGAAACCAAAATCAAAACCAAAACGCGCATCAACACCGATTCGGGTGATAATCCGTCCTAAAACCGAACCCGGATACCAAACCCGAATGGATACCTGAAACCCGCTTTGTATGACAACATAGTAAGAGAAATAATGACTTTCTATAAACATATGCATGATATATACACACATATTCACATGTATAAACAAGAGGCAACAAATAATAAATATTTTCATGAGTCAACTTAAAATAAATTTAATAATATAAGTAAACAAGTTATTATTAGCATATTATAAAACATGAGTTTTAATTCCAAATGATTTATTTCGGATATCCATTGGATATCCACGGGTGGAAAACTAAACCCAAAACCGAACCCGATTGGTTTCGGGGCCCTAAACCCGAAAACCGTGGATGAGAAATGATCCCCGAACCCGAACCCGCAAGACCCGAAACCCGCGGATATCCGACCCGAAATCGCCCCGTTGCCATCCTTGGGCACCACCATTCTCGGTCGCCAGCTAGGCGGAACCGACCGTTCCCCGCTCTGCTCTGCGTGGCACAAAAGAAGAAGGGTGAAAACGCATGTTGCAAGCGTATATTTCAAGTGTTTCATATGTTTTAGAGGTATGTTGTAAGTGTTTCAGATGGATATTGCAAAAGTAGATCGAGATGTTCCACATGTTGTAATGGTTGTACACGTATGTTGCAAGTGTCTGTTCGCAATGTTTCATCTATGTTTTTGGATCTATATTACAAGTGTGTTTATCTGGATGTTGTATATGTTTCACTCTGGATGTTGTGTATATTTGCAATGGTATTCAAGCGTTTTTAGGTATTTTTTTTGCAAGTTTTTCAGAAACATGTTTCAGCTGTTTTATATGTCTTCAAACGTGTGTTGTAAGTGTTGCATTTAAATATTTTAAAAGTAGATCAGATGTTGCACATGGATGCGTGTGGAAAGCAGAAGGGGGCGCGGGCGACGTCCGGGCGGGCGGCGTGGGCACCACGTGGGCGTGCGAAACGCAGGATTAGGCGTGCTGGCGTGAGCGCGGGGCATGGAGTGTAGCTGTGCAGGCACGCACACGGAAAATAAGAGTGCAGCGCGGGCGCTCAGACATATGTGTCCGGACACGGCCCACGCCCTACAGCCCAAGGAAAGCGGCCCAACCATCCGGGTGCTCTTTAATAGCTTCGCCGTCCAACACTGCGACGCTTTCGATCCGTTTGGGTGCGCCTCCTGGCCGACGGACCGAACATATTTGGGTTCGATATTTGGAAATGTAAGAACGAGAAAACGCTAACGAACATTGAGTCCGATCGTTGGGACGCTTGGTGGAGAGCCTGCAGCCTGGGTTCGAGCGCTGCTCATGC